TTTTAACAATGCTGTGCTGAATACACAATAGGTATACTGATCTGTATAAATCACGGTGTCCTCATGGATCCAGTGCTCACCTTTCTGTAGAGAACGTACAGCCAGTAGTCAGCTACCTTGGTCACTGTCCATACGTGCAGAGTCTAGTCCATAGGCCATTAAGGGTCAAGGTATTTGGTGAGGATTCTCCTCACTCTCTTTCCTCTTCCCTCATTACATTCAGTGAGATAGCTGTTTGCCTGGGTGGGAGGCTGCAGATCCCTGTCACACTGTATAGCGTCCTGCTCAACTTGGTGATCCACAGTGTCGTTAAAGGCCTCACAGTAGTTGTGGAGGACAAAGCAAGCATAAATAACACTAGGCAGATGACGGAGGCTTATGTCCATGGGCCGCCTCAGGGCTGCAAACCTGGCCTTGAGCCGACCAAATGAACATTCAATCACCATACGGGCCCTACACAAACTGAGTCCAAAGTACTGTTCTGATGGGGTAGAGCCTCCACCTGAGTACTCTTTCATAAGGTAAGGGAGAAGGGGGTAGGCAGGGTCCCCCAAGAGAAAGATAGGTATTGGCTCCTCTTCATCCACTATCTGCATTTCAAGTGAAAGTATCTTCCCAGTCTTGAAGTAGGTGTTCACTTTGGAATTGGCAAAGACATGCGCATCGTGGACACTTCCAGGCCATTTTATGACCACATCCATGAATATGTAAGGCAAGCAAACAGCATCTTTTAACTCAAAGTGCTTTACCATTTTTAAAACAAATACAATGACAATAGTGAAACATACATGGGACAGCCTATAGAAAGAGCACAAGAGACCTCAAAAACTTTGATTAGGCCTACCTGTATTTGTGGTCGCACACAGCTTGGACATTCAGGGAGAACCTGGCTTTCCTGTTTATGTAATCCATGGCATTGATGGCTGGCTGTTTTATGTCAATATGTGTCCCTTCTACCGCTCCCAAACATTGGGGCATGCCATGATCGCGCAGAAAGCCGGAAACGAGTTCCTCTGCCTCGGGCACAGTAAATGGCAACTGGATGTATTCAGACCAAGGTGGACAGTTATGACTTTGCACGTTTGTCTGGCGATGACCGACACAGTCGGCCGTGATAAGCCAAAGGCGTTCGCTGTTTTCCTTAGCCGTCCCTCGTCGCTTAAATAATATAGTACAAGCTACCTTTTTCAGGACCCCCACAGGTGCTCTCATGTTGGTTATTTCGCCCTCCATGTATCAGCGAAGTTCCTCACTCAAGGCGACAAGCGAGTCTTTGGACATGCGAAAGTTTTCACGCCATGCTCTGTCGTCAACTTCGCCTTGAACAAAGTAGTCCTACCATCGACTGGTTCTTCCGGGTCTTATCCATAGCTGTCTGGTTCGCGTCCACCGAATTGGTGCATCAAACAATTGCCCTAGGTAATTAATGTGCCTTCTCTGTTCTGTTATCTGTGATTACTCTGTGACTCCTGGATAGATATCAGAGCAGCTAGGGCAACTTGAATGTCCGACTGATGGAAACAATCCGACATGTTTGTTGTTGTTTGCCTGTACTGCACATGGATGTGACGTCAACGCATACGCGACAAGAGCCAGCGTGAGCAGATCACAGCACACTTTTGCGTTGTTAATCCTTTAGACAGAAACGCAACGGTGGAGATTTTTTAAGATTTCCAATCTGGAGGGTGGGTTAATTTTTTTGTGTTTTTAAGCCCCGAAAACGCCGTCGCCGTCTAAACGAAAGGCACATCTCATAAAATATTTTGTAGGTTTCACCCGGAAGCGTTGCCGTGTAAAGCCAGCCTTAGACTTTATTCATGAAAAACATTTTTGGATAAGGGAATACAATTTGAAAAGGATTCTCAAAAAAATTATACTTAAATAAAAAACAGAATCTTAAAACAAAAGTAAATATTCTTAACTAGTGGAGAAGAGTTCAGTCAGGACCACTTTTGTCAAGAAGGATTGCCTGTGCCTGTGGCCGGAGGCAACATCCTGGAGGTGGGGAAGGCACTAAGAAAGCATCCCAACTGCTGTTTTGTCAGTTATTTTAATTACAGGACTGGTTCAAGGGTTCTTAACTGGGTTGAGGCTATAGGCAGATGGTCATCTTCGGCTTAAGATTGTTGACTGGTGTTGATGGCTTTATTTTCTCCCTTCCCTTTTCAAGAGGCGGGTTTGTCCCAGGCTCACTGATTTGGGATGCCCGTCTCCACAATAGCTTAGACCTTCCAGGTTGGGGGTTTGAAAAAGGCTTGGGTGGTTGGCCTACAGTCACAAATTTCAGGAACAGATTGGGAGAGCGAAAGAAGGAGCTACAAATGGAGCAAGACAGAGCTCGCTGACCTGTGAAATGTCTCATGAGAGCCAGTCGACTACTGACCAGTCCAGTCTCTGGTTGAACCTTTGAATGTACATGGCAGCTTTGGTTTCAGTTCAGCTTTACAGGATGAAAAAACTTAGCTTATGACATCTCTATATACGGCTAAAGCCACATTAAATTCGGCCAGAGTTAGTATTTTAGAAAGTCCGGGGCCAGTCTTGCAGCAGCCGGAGCAAAGAATGGAACCCTTGTGAGACTGGGAATGCACTTCCCAGCGTTCTCCACGGGAACATGATGCCATCGAAGCGCGCTGTAGTGACCATCACCATCCAGCGTTGCACATGCTGGACCATGCACGGGACCCGCGGTCAACGAGGAGGGAGACGGGCCAACAGCGATCCAGGCCTTGGATCCTGGAGTTCAAGCTGGTAAGCGATGACTGGATGCTTAATCAATGATTGATGGGATTGTTGTTGTCCAGGTCTGAAGAGCTGGCTGCTGGGTTTGGGACTTGTGCTCTTTTGGAGGGCAGAGCAGTGGCCAGAGCTCAGGCTGCAGCAGCAACTATTGAAACTGTTACTGTTCTGCTTGTCTTCAATGGAGTTCAGATCCTTGTACACACTTCACTTTGTCAGGACACTCACCTGGCTATTTTCACGGGGTCCCTTGGAGGCATAGAAGGTGAAATGGTCGTCATGGCTTCCAACACCCCTGGTAGGCTCAGCTCTCCAGTGCTCCAGATACATAGCTGCCCAGTGCCACAGAGTCTCAGCTGCCTAGCTCTTTGGACACGGTGGTGCCAGGCACTACTGAGCTGTCATCTGTTTCTGGTTTCCTGTCTGTGGTCTGGCCGACACCTTCTTCTGGTTCCCTGTCAGCAGTATGGCCGATGCCTGCATCTCGTTCCTCGCCGATGGTCTTGTTTTACTTCATTGGCAGACACCTGTTCCTGGTTCCCCGTCTGTAGACCAGCCAACATCTAGTTGGTTCTTCTGCGGTGGCCCGGCCGACCAGGTTCTGATCCAACAGTCCCTCACAATTACAGACCAATCTCTAAATTCCCCTTTAATTAAAAAATCACTGAAAAAATGGTTACAAAAAATTTATTAGAAATAGTTGTAGTTAATAACATCCTTAATCCATTTTAATCAGGTATTTGCCAGTTATAATCCATAATACTGAAACTACTCTTCTGAAAATCACTATATTCACAGCCAATGATATTCTTATGAATGCTGATTCAGGCTATCATTCCATTTTAATATTGTTAGACTTGTCCGCCTTTTTTTTTTTTTTTTTTTTCTATTTTTTTTAAAAATTTTTTTTTGGTTTTTTTTTTTTTTTTTTTTTTTTTTTTAAATTTTTTTTTATAAAAAAATTTGTTAAAAACAACAAACATCTTTAGGGGGGGGGGTTTTTTTTTTTTTTTTTTTTTTTTTTTTTTTTTTTTTTTGGGTTTTTTTTTTTTTTTTTTTTACCACAAATTTTTTTTTGGGGGGGGGGGGGTTTTTTTTTTTTTTTTTTTTTTTTTTAAAAGGATTTTTGAAAAAAAAAAAAAAGGTAAAAAAAAAAAATTTTTTTTAAAAAAAAATATTTGTGGAATTAATAAAAAATTTTTGGGGCCCCCTCCCTCTTTTTTTTTTTTAAAAATTTTTTTCTCTTAAAGGAAGGAGTTGTAGCTTTTTTGTGCTTTTTTTTTTACTTTTTTTTTTTTTTTTTTTTTATATTTGGAAGTACATAGTCTTGTATTTCTTTGTGCTTATTTTTGTTGTAGTCATAGTTTGATTTTTGTTTTCAAGATTGTCATTTGTATGAAAATGTAACTACTGCATAAGCAAAAAAATGCTTTATTCTATATCAGTGTTTAGCCAAAAGAGGGCAGCATGAGATTGCTTGATGTATTCTATTTTACCCGTTGTATAGTATCGTGATGTGGAGAGACCAGTATCTTTTATACTTTCAATATTCCTTATCTATGTCACATATATTAATTTATTGTTTGTTGTTTGTTTCCCAGTGTTAAGTGTATATGCTCTGTTGAAAGAGGAATAAAGTCCTGGGCACTGTTATTGGAAGGGCTGTACACAGTTATTCCTCATAGTCAGTCCCCTGTGCACTTTATACCTCCTACCCTCACACCTTTTTTTGCATTGTTCTAGCTCATGTTACAGTCAAGTCTATTTTCATGACTGTGTGAATCACTCTCTTTCTAATAGCTTGATATTGTTTTCTGTCACTTTTTCATCACTGCTTATTCCCTGTATACAGTTTTAATAGATTTAACTATTTATTGAGTCATTTTTGCCATAGGTCCTAACTTAAAGTATCACGCACAGATCCGGCAGGATCTGATTTTCTCATGTGCTGTTTTCTTTTAACACAATATGCAAATTAATTAATGCAAAATTCCTTGAAAATAAATAATCTGTTGGTTTGTTTTTTGACAATTAGATAAATTATAATGTTTTGAGAAGAAATAAGTTAACATTTTACTATGATGAATGTCTCTTATGCTAGTTTATTCTTGGGGACCCTGTCAGTAGTCCCTGTATGTTAAATGTGTTACAGGATGATGGTTTATTGGTTCTTGATAGGGTTTAACCATACATCATGAGATTTATTTTTCCAGTGTGATATACAGTATATGAAAGAATTGTGTGAAACATTTTGAGACCCATTTCTGTTATGACGTTAGACTTTATTTAGCACAGGATGAAAAATTATTCATGAAATGAGTCAATATGTTAAAGGCACATTCAATGAATGATACTGACATCTAGTAAACATGAAATGTAAAAACCATGTCAGTGTAAATATGTAAATCAACTAGGCGATGAGTGTGTTGAATATGCACAGCAAAGGCACTATACTGTATACAGTATAGCCATATTAACTCTTTCCAAATCTCAGATGTTTTGGGATTAATTTTTGTTCATTAAATGTTTCTTGGTGTTTTTGTCTGGTTTAAACAATATGATGAAACACTTTGGAGCAAATATACACACTATTAGTCCAAAACTAGAAGCCAGAATGGCAAATATCTCCACAGCCACAGTAAATTTCCCAGGAGAGCTGACATACGCTGGGATAAAGGTGATCCAGACTGCACAGAATATCAGCATGCTGAAGGTGATAAGCTTGGCTTCATTAAAATTATCAGGTAGTTTCCGGGCTAGGACAGCTAGCACTAGGCAAAAGACAGCCAGAAGGCCTATGTACCCGAGTACAGCCCAGAACCCAATAGCTGAACCCAATGCACACTCCAGGATGATTCTCTCCTTGTATATGGTTAGGTTTTTCTTCGGAAAAGGGGGACTGACTACCAACCAAATAGTACATATTAAAACTTGAATGAATGTGAAAGACACTACAGTCAATCTTTGCTGTGGAGGACCAAACCATTTCATGACATTACTACCTGGGAGTGTAGCTTTGAAGGCCATTAACACTACTATAGTTTTTCCAAGAACACAAGAGATGCAGAGGACAAAGGTGATCCCAAACGCTGTGTGGCGCAGCATGCAGGACCAATCAGAGGGTGCTCCAATGAAAGTTAATGAACATAAGAAACACAGAGTCAGGGAGAAGAGCAGCAGGAAGCTCAGTTCAGAGTTGTTGGCCCTGACAATCGGGGATGTTCTGTGATGAAAGAACACAGCCGCTGTTATAATGGCAAGACAGGCACCACCAAGTGAGAATGCAGCCAGGATGATTCCTAGGACCTCGTCAAAGGAAAGAAACTCTACAGGCTTGGGGAAACAAGTGTCTCTCTGTGAATTAGGCCAGAACTCCTTGGGGCAAGGGAAACAATCAGGAGAATCTGAAAAAAAAGAAAAAAAGATGGGGAAAAGTGCTTTTTGCAGTCATATGATGTTGCATTACAATGGAGAAAAGCATCGGCACACTCAAATGTGTAGAAATATTTTATTTTGTAAACTTCAGGTCAGAGACCTTGCTCAAGTCTGATACCTGATAAACAGTGTTTTTTATGTCTAATTCAGATATGCATAGCAGTTGAAAAAATATGAACAAAATTAGTAAATAAAATACCTGTGACATTGCTAATCTCTCCCTCAGGACAAGGTATACAATCATAACAGCAGATGGGTTTTCCTTTCTGCAGCACTTTACGAGTTCCTGGATGACAGCTGTCACTGCACACTGATACAGGAACCTGGCGAGAATAAACTCACACATATTCAGGTGTACTGTGCAACACAAAGCAAAAAAGGATTTTCAAATCTGCTAGTAAACAATACTCACATGTCAATATGTACGTAAAGTACTTATCTTCTAAGAGAACACTATTTTTATATTAATATATATTGAAACTACTGTAACTTTCGAAGATTACCATTTTTGCACAGAATGAGGACTCTGGATTTTGTCCCACATCGTTTACAATGTAACTATTAGAAATGGATCTCTTTACAGCCAGTTTGGACAGGGGCAACAGGGACCAAGAACACATATTGTATCCTTTGAGATCAAACATTTTGAAATTAAAATATGTTAAATTATTGCTTTTGTGCTCCTTACTTGTGTCCTACCCTCCACCCAGGTGATATTCTTGTTGATACGGAACTCCTGGCCCACTGGCAGTGATGCATCATAGAACCCCACTGTCACCAACTCAATGCTGCCACTCTCACTTTTCTGCCAGTTCACCAGCTCATATGTGGCCACAGGATCCCCGTTGGCATCAAAGGACACATCATAACCGTTTTGGGAAAAATTTACTTTCTTCAGATGAGTAAGAACCTGTGATGATGACATAATATATGACAGTAAGCAAGAAAGAGGTAAATGTGAAATAAAATGAATATTTAATTTAATAAAAAGTACATTATAGTTTTAAATTACCTCTTTGGACTCTATTCTGGTGATTTTGTCACACTGAGTTGTAGAATTTGTGTCCTGACACACTGCATTATGAATGGCATGTGCTATTGCATAAACAGCCTTGTAAACCATGTTAGTGATTCGGAGCTGAGATGTGTCAGTGTACGGGCTCTTGACTGTCTGTATGTCTTCAGTTCCATCACACACAGTCTCGTCCGTGGCCGCACCTAAAAACAAAAAAAGTTTTTTTATAGCTTTGATAATGATATTACATTATGATTCTGTGTTTATTATTAGTTTATTTTATATTTGTCTTATTTCACATACCAAATGTGCCTTGCAGAAACTCATTCATCTATGTATTCATAAAACGTGTTTTTACATTACATTTTAAAGTACTTTGTCCAGACTGTCCATCTTTTTTCTTAGGTGTTTCAGTATGTCTCAGGCCCCGTTAAATCAACCCCTCAATAAAGCTAACTATAAGTAATAATAAGTATACACATAAAACATTATTTTACATTACATTTCACTGTACTATTTTTCCAGAAATGCCTTCTTCATTTCTTTAAATAATGCTGCTCTGTTTATCAGGCCCTGTTTTTTTGTTTTGGTTTTTTTTACCTTCTTTAAACCAACTCATTAACAGAACTCAGTTAACAAATAATTAGTGACATTTGTAAAAGACAATGTCCACAGCTTTTTTTATGATCAATAACTGACCTGATATAAAAAAAACTCTTTCACAGAGATGTGCTTTACATCCACCTCATATTTACTCGATTTTTCATTATCAGTAGATTTCCATCTCAAACAAAAACTGAGGTTGACCTTAAAGTAGCTGCTGACTTTTAACACAGGAAGCTCCGCTCAGACATCAAAACAATAACACACAACGCAAACAACAAGGATCAACTTGTGAATGTCAAATGTGTAAAAAAAAAAAAAATGGCATGTCTCACTTTTCCCCAGCCTGCAGTTGAACACATCCTCCCAGAACCCAGTAAGCAGTGGAGAGGCAGCCACTTCAGAAGGAGAGAGATCCAGCAAGAATTCTCTCAGACCTGGGATGACAGATTTCTGAATGCCAACTCCGATAGTTCCAGCACAGAAGCTGAACCTCAGCATGTCGGGGTTGGTTGCCCAGGCCTCACTGCCTAACCACTGGCGAGGTGGAGAAGGCTCACTTGACAGCTCCTCCAGGAGTAGCCCGATTTCTGCAGCGGCTGCAAATGTCACAATAACCATAGCTGTCGACCTGGAGACACATTATAGTGATATTATACCAATGCAGGAGTCAAAATAGACACATACAAAGATGAGTGATATTTTAGGTTTTGGTCTTACAAATTTTATAACATCAATAATAATTACGAGAGAAATAAACACACTCCTAAAAAATACATTTCCAATTTGCCACTAAGCCAATAAAATAAAATAACTTTTTTGCTGTTTTGTATGCAGAAGGTCAGTGTCAGCACACGGAACAATAAAGCAAAACCAGTAATGTAGAAACCTGCGGACAACATCAGCTACTCTCTGGATCTTGCTACGTGGGTGGGTGCGATAGAAAGATTCAATGTATTCCACACAGATCCCCTCCTTCTCTGCTGCATTCAGGAAAGATGCCATGCCATTATTGCCATAGTCTGAATCCGAATGGATAGCACCTATCCAAGTCCAGCCGAAGTGTTTTACCAGCTTGGCCAGTGCATCAGCCTGGAAATGGTCACTAGGGATGGTTCTGAAGAAACTGGGAAACTGCTGCTTATCGGACAGACATGCACAAGTAGAAAAGTGGCTCACCTGAAAGGAAAAAAAACAGTGTAATCCTTTAATGGGGCTGACAAAGACATAACACAGGACTATATTAAACACATAGTTTGCCAGAAAATCAATATATGTACCAGAGGAATGTTAAAGGGCCCCATGATGCGTGACATACTGATGGACAGTGTGGACCCTGACTCACCGACGATAGCCATCACCACACCAGATTGCGAGCAATTGGCGCCAGTGTAAAACACCGGGTCCAGGCCATTTGAAAGCTGAAATGCCACATGCACTGCCACGGGTATTGAGGCACACGAGTCGTGGATCCGATAACCGAGTTTGATGCCCGGCAGCAGCTTTGTGCTGTTGTTAATCTCTTCAATGGCGAAGATCATTGCACGTGAAAAACGCAGTTTTCGGTAGTCAATGCTGCAGACAGACACTCATGTCACAGTTCAAATTGACATAATAAGGATTAAACACACAGTAACAGAGAATGACAATCAATAGTTATGGACAAAAGTTCATAGTTGCACAGCATCTGTGGACAGTTACCTGAGCACCAAAATTAAAAAACACAGCATCAGATATCAGTTCAACATTTTAAGTCATGGATTAACAGTCAAACAAATCTAACATCTTAATTTATTTTATCCTGTTAAAAAAAAATCAATACAGCTTTGCAACTGATTTGTAAGCACATAATTAAAATAAAACATTTCCAACCCAGCACAGTGTAACATCCTTTTACCAACCATTTTTCCCTCTTACTAACCTCCCTGTGCACTTTAGTGGCTCAGGCATGATGGTGTAGTTATGTTCCGCTGTGTGTTTGTAGTTATGTATGGAGAAAACACCCCCAATGACGTAGTCACCATCCATTGAGAATGCAGGTAGACGAACAGCACCCCGGAGCTTACATTTCACAGATGAGGCCTCAGTGCTGACCCCAGCAACAGTTCTATACCCTGTAAACCCAGTCCTTTGTTTCAGATCATTCCCAGAACCATTAATGGCGAAAGCTAAATTCAGCTCACACAAACCCAGAGACCAAATGAGGCTAGTGAAGAGAGCTGAGATCTCCATTGTTCACGTGTTTGTATGTGGGCATACTGTGTGTTTTCACTGGTTTATATACATTTTAAGCCAGAAGCTCCCCTCCTACTTGTACGTCAGCATACTGTACATCAGGAAGAGGATGTCCTTATCCAAAGGTCTTTGATGAATTATTGGTAGTATTTTGTATGGGTGGCATGAACAATGTTATCTCCCTCCATTTCTATTTCCTCTTGTAAGGTTATTATTGTAAAAAACAGATATCTTCCTAATACCCTCACACCTTTTTTTGATTTTGATTTTGGTTCATATTACATTCAAGTCTAACCAATGCAGACTTTTATTGGGTTGTTTATGTGGTCTAATCCCATCTTCAATAGATCACAAGATTTATTTCCCACTATGACAAAATGTGGAGAGAGAACTCAGTTCCACACATTTTTGTTGTGAAATAAAACAATATTATTAAAAGTCAATTAAAAAAAAAATTGTTATAATGTCATGTCATGCACAGCAATGAATATGTGCTAAACCTCAGATGTCTTAGAATTTATTTTTGTTTATTAAATACTTATTGGCGTTGATGTGCTAATATACACAGTATTAGTCCAAAACTGGAGGCCAGAATGGCAAATAAGCCACAATAAACTTCAAAGGAGAGCTGGGACAGCTAACAAAGGACAGCCAGAAGGCCTATGTACCCAAGTACAGTCCTAAACCCAATGGCTGAGCCTAATGCACACTCCAGGATGACTCTTCTTGAAGCAACCAAACAGTATTTAAACTTGAATGAATATGAAAGACACCACAGTCATCCTTCACTGTGCTGGCCAAAAGCATTTCATAGCATTCATTCATTAGGTGACTCAGGCGGCAGCTTGTAGCTGCAGCTCCCGTCGTGTTTTTTAACTTTGTTTATTTGTTGGTTTCAGTCTTTTCATTAACAGTAGTACTCAACAGTCCATGCATAAACGTTGATACAATGGCTGGACTAAGTTTTGTTACTTTTCTCCACATCCTTCTGTTACTTTTTTTTACTTTTTGTAACAGAGAACTTTGCTGGTAGTAGTTGGGGCATTGTTTACACGCGTGAACACCCGATTGCGCTGTGTAAGCCTGTGCTGCTGCTCGGAAACAGACCTGCGGTCCTGCAGGAGTTGCAGAGGATACGCCGGGGTTGCAGGGCTGGAACCAAACGGTGGGAGAAAAGGAGAAGACACAAGCCAGCGGTCCCAGCAATTATAATGGGAAATGTGAGGTCTTTGGGGAATAAGATGGACGAACTTTTAGTGGGGGTAAAGACCCAGAGGGAATACCGCGAGTTTAGCATTTTTCTTCAGTGAAACTTGGCTGCACTCGCACATCCCAGACAGCAGCATTGAGGTTCCCGGTTACAGATTGGTACGTGGAGACAGAGACTGTTCCAAAAAGCGGAAGAAGAATGGTGGGGCTTGCACTTTATGTGAGTGAGAGGTGGTGCAATCCCAGACATGTCAGTGTGAAGGAACGTCTCTGTACCCCGGACATTGAACTGCTGGCTGTGGGAATGCGCCCGTATTATTTGCCTAGGGAGTTCACGTCCACCATTGTTATTGCTGTCTACATCCCCCCATCAGCTGATGCAGTGGTGGCCATCAATATGTTGACTGCCCTACCAGAGACAATGAAACATTGGATTTATTATATGCTAATGCCATGGACGCATATTACGCCACAGCCCTTCCCCCCCTCGGCAGGTCAGACCACAACCTGGTCATGATGACTCCCAAGTATGTCCCTCTTGTGAGAAGGCAGCCTGTGCACACCAGGACAGTGAGGAGGTGGACACAGAAGACCGCTGAGGCACTGCAGGACTGCTTCGAGTCAACAGACTTGGATGTACTCTGTGAGCCACATGGGGAGGATATCGATAAGATGACCGAATGCATTACAGATTATATTAGATTCTGCGAGGACACCATGATGCCAGCCCGGACCGTTCACTGCTTCTCCAATAACACGCCCTGGATTACCAGTGACCTGAAGGCACTCCTGAACAAGAAGAAGGAGGCTTTCAGGTCGGGAGACAGAGAGGAGCAGAGGAGAGTGCAGCACAAACTGAAAGATGCTGAGGACGTGCAAGGACAACTACAGGAGAAAGCTGGAGGCCAAACTCCAACAGAACAGTGTGAGGGATGTGTTGGCGGGCATGAAGCACATCACAGGGATGAAGAGGAAAGACAGGCAGACATCTGGGAGCCTGGATAAAGCTAACCAGTATAACCAGTTTTTCAACAGATTTAGCTCACCTCCTGCTACCCCTCCGACACTCCCAGCCCCCGACACACTCACACTGTCCCAAATGGCTTGACCCTCCCCCCAGCATTCTCCTGTATAACACCTCTCCAACTGCCCCCTCTCCTTCCCCCCCCACCCCCTCCTCCTCCTCCACTGATGACATCTGCACCAACCCCCGCCCAACGGTGACTACAGGCCAGGTAAAGAGGCAGCTGGAAAAACTGCATCAGCGAAAGGCTGCAGGCCCTGATGGCATCTCACCCAGGATCCTGAAGACCTGTGCCAGCCAGCTGTCCCCTGTACTGGGACATCTGTACAACTGAGCCTGAGTCAGGAGAAAGTCCCGTTGCTGTGGAAGACCTCCTGCTTGGTCCCAGTCCCCAAGAAGTCGAGGCCATCTGACCCGGCAGACTACAGACCAGTCGCCCTAACATCGCATGTGTTAAAGGGCCTGGAGAGACTGAGAAGATGATTCCTAGGATCTTGTCAAAGGAAAGAAACTCTTTCTGTGATGAAAGAACACAGCCGCTGTTATAATGGCAAGACAGGCACCACCAAGTGAGAATGCAGCCAGGATGATACCTAGGACCTCGTCAAAGGAAAGAAACTCTACAGGCTTGGGGAAACAAGTGTCTCTCTTCTGAAAAAAATCAAAAAGAGCTTTTAGTGCTCATTTACTTGATGTTGTGGAAATGCATTGCAAAAAAAAAAAAGAATGTACCTGTAACATTGCTAATCTCTCCCTCAGGGCACGGTATACAGTCATAACAGCAGATGGGTTTTCCTTTCTGCAACACTTTACGAGTTCCTGGAGGACAGCTGTCACTGCACACTGACAGAGGAACCTGGCACATAGGTACAAACACACAGACTTATTCAAGTGTACTGTGCAGCTTTCAGGATTAAAGGATAAGTTCCCATTTTTTCAAGACTTTCTTAGTATGTGTCTAATTTTTGTAATATTACGTAAATGAAAGAAGGCAGTCCTAGAGGTCTGCTTTATGTGGGAGTTAAATGACAAATCCTGATCAAAGATAACTCCAAGATTCCTGACAGTGGTGCTAGAGGCCAAGTTAATACCATCTAGAGTAACTATATCTTTAGACAGTGAGTCTTTAAGGTTTTTGGGGCCAAGAACAAGAATTTCGGTTCATACACAGCACAGCCCATGGCCCCTGCACATCCATACACACCACAACACATGGGCGCTGCACATTCATACACTGCTAAGCCCATGGCCCCTGTACCTCCATCCTCCTACAGATCATTGATATCATCGTAGACATCATTGAGCAGGCTGAAAGGAGCAACAGAGAGAGGCTGGACACAATTGCAGCGGCTCAAATAAGGATAAGCCATAGCTTTGATTTCCTTGTGAGACACATCACCTCTCAGCCACAAGCAAACCATGCCCTGCCTAATGCTTTCACACCAGCACCATCCATGGCCCCCGCACATTCATACACACCACCACCCATGGCCCGCGCACATTCATAAACACCACCACCCATGGACCCCGCACATTCGCGCACACCATCACCCATGGCCCCCGCACATTCATACACAGCACTGCCCATGGCTCCTGCACATCCATACACACCACAACACATGGGCCCTGCACATTCATACACTGCTCAGCCCATGGCCCCTGTACCTCCATCCTCCTACAGATCATTACTAGAAGAGGAACACTCCGATGAGGAAGATGTTGACCTTTTGTCATTGTCAAAGACAAAGTGCCAAGTTTGTTTACATTTTGTTATACAATTTTTGTTCAGTACCTGTCTGCTGTTTAAGCACTTAATTCTTTCTCAACCGCTGGGCAGAGGCCCACACTCTGTTCTGTTAGATAGGTTTGCCCTCGGGTAAACTTGAACTTTCATAAGGTAAGGGACAAGGGGGTAGGCAGGGTCCTCCAAGAGAAAGATAGGTATTGGCTCCTCTTCATCCACTATCTGCTTTTCAAGTGAAGGTATCTTCCCAGTCTTGAAGTAGGTGCTCACTTTGGAATTGGCAAAGACATGCGCATCGTGAACACTTCCAGGCCATGTTATTACCACATCCATGAATCTGTAAGGCAAGCAAACAGCACCTTTTAACTCAAAGTGCTTTACCATTTTTAAAACAAATACAATGACAATAGTGAAACATACATGGGATAGCCTATAGAAAGAGCACAAGAGACCTCAAAAACTTTGATTAGGCCTACCTGTATTTGTGGTCGCACACAGCTTGGACATTCAGGGAGAACCTGGCTTTCCTGTTTATGTAATCCATGGCATTGATGGCTGGCTGTTTTATGTCAATATGTGTCCCTTCTACCGCTCCCAAACATTGGGGCATTCCATGATCGCGCAGAAAGCCGGAAACGAGTTCCTCTGCCTCGGGCACAGTAAATGACAACTGGATGTATTCGGACCGAGGTGGACAGTTATGGCTTTGCACGTTTGTCCGGCGATGACCGACACAGTCGGCCGTGATAAGCCAAAGGCGTTCGCTGTTTTCCTTAGCCATCCCTCGTCGCTTAAATAATAGAAAGTACAAGCTACCGTTTTCAGAACCCCCACAGGTGCTCTCATGTTGGTTATTTCGCCCTCCATGTATGGGCGAAGTTCCTCACTCAAGGCGACAAGCGAGTCTTTGGACATGCGAAAGTTTTCACGCCATGCTCTGTCGTCAACTTCGCCTTGAACAAAGTTGTCCTACCATCGACTGGTTCTTCCGGGTCTTATCCATAGCTGTCTGGTTCGCCCCCGCCGAATTGGTGCATCAAACAATTGCCCTAG